AATAAAATGGACTAAATGTCTTGACCTCTGACCCTGACTCTGGACCACTGGAAAATCTCTTACTCTTACTGGGCCTAAGTGTCTTGTTTACCATGCGGGCAGGATGCTCTAAATAAACCCGTAAGATCCCTCCCGTATCAGAGAAAACCTCCCAGCTTCCTGAGGAGGTTCTTGGTTGGTTCAGGCATGAGAGGTGGAGCTTGGACTGGGTAATAAGGCTCTCACCCTCAGGGGTACCTCAAGGGTCCCAGCTTCCCTGCTCCCCACCCCAGGAGGCCCCAGCTCAGGTTTAAATAATTGAGTTGCTTTTGGCAATTTGATCAATCTTGTCTATTTCAAATGTGCCTATTTATACACAAGGCCAATTCTTTATGTTCTATATTAAGCTCCACTGTATTTCTGTGAGATATTAAAATGTAAATTATGCAACAGAGGTAAATTGATGGGAATTTTCCCATACAGGTAAAAGGAACTGCAGGTCCTAATTATAGCGAGATATCAGCGGGTGGAAAAAGCAGGAGTCTGGGAAGAAGGGGGCTCGGCTGAAGGTCAGGCAGTCAGGTACCTATATGCAGTCGGGCACCTATATGGCAGAGTGCAAATCTTCTGGTACTATGGAACCAGACCCTCCCGGGCAGGAAGAGGCAGGGTGGGATGTGTGCTTAATGACCTCTTGTTTCAATCACTGCACGTGCTTTAAAGTAACAAGTGGATGATTTCGACTATCTTCCAGAAAGCACATACCCTCCAACTGTCACTTGCTCCGCCACTGCCCCCAGATCCCCAGTAGGGCAGAAATGAGGATCAGCTGCCATGTGCCACTGGTCACACAGATGTCACACTTCTGTCACCTGCTGTGACACACAGGCTGATGACTCCATTCATGACGCCCTTCCATGGATAAACTCAGGACTTCCTGCCATTCGCAGCTGGTTAACTTCACCCTTTTCTCTCCCATTCAAAAAAGTATGTTGGGCTGCAAGTGAGTGAGAGGGATAATATCTTGTTATCATTAATTAAGTGCCTGATTCACAAGATTTAGTTTATTAACAGGAGTCCCCAGGTGGCACAAACGGATAAGTGCTTGACTACTAGCTGAAAGGTTGGCAGTTTGAACCCACTCAGAGGCATCTTGGAAGAAAGGCCTGGCAATCTGCTTCCAAAAGGTCACAGCCTTGAAAACCACATGGAGCAGTTCTACTCTGACACATGGGGTCACCATGACTCAGAATTGACTCAGCAGCAACTAATAATAACTGTTTATTAACTATTATAACTATTAACTGTAAGGCACCTTATACCTGGAAACTACATATGGTATGTCATGAAATCAGTATTGAAATAAAGACCTATACCCCTCCACACTATGTTGGTGAAAGTGCTGAGTCATCTTCCTGGCTGTTTACAAACTTTCTGCTGATTGGCACCCTGATCCCTTGTCTCAGAAGTCCAGGGAGAGCGTTAGGGATGAGGATGGAAAGACAGAGGTCCTGGGTTTGGGGCTCAGGCCATGGCCCCACCTCAAGATGTATCTACATCCACCCTTTTAGGTTCCATGGACAGGGCCAGTGTTATAGATGCAGAAAGACAGTTTCTCAAGTGGTTCATCTGAGGTGTCCTGGACAGGGGTCATACTGGGGTATATGAGCACTTCAGGTTGGCTAATAACCTAGTGCCTCTTCAAAATGATATCATTTAAATATCTGTTCCCATTTATTCAGAAGAGAAGGCGAATGTCGCTTAGAACACGAGAGGAGAAGGAGACTGCAACAGCCCTCAAGTTCACTGTCTCCAGAACAGCTCAGCTCTGACACGGAAGCTGCAAACTCTCTCAGCAAAACACAAGTCCTGCAGTTACCGTAATTCCCCAGGTTACGAACATTGACTTACGGACAACTTGTACTTGCCCTTTAATGTGATGTAAATTTGCCCTCACTTTGAAACGACTGGACCAACCTCCACTCCAACCCCTACTCGAAATGAGTTGTTCATCACAATAAGAATGTCATGGATTGAATTGTTCCCCCAAATATGTGTCAAGTTGGCCTGCCCATGACTCCCAATATTGTGTAGTTGTCTACCATTTTGTCATCTGATGTGATTCTCCTCTGTGTTGTAAATCCTTCCTCTATGATGTTAATGAGGCAGGATTAGAGGCAGTTATGTTATAGAGGGAGGACTCAATCTATAAGACTAGGTTGTGTCTTAAGTCAATCTCTCTCGAGAAAAAAAAGAGAAGCCAGCAAAGAGACAGTGGGACCTCACACCACCAAGAAAGTAGAGCCAGGAGCATGTGTCCTCTGGACTCAGGGTCCCTGTGCTGAGAATTTCCTAAAGCAGGGGAATACTGATGACAAGGACTTTCCCCCAGAACTGACAGGAAGAGAAAGGCTTCCCCTGGAGCTGACGCCCTGAATTTGGATTTCTAGCCTCCCAGACTGTGAGAGAATACATTTCTCTTTGTTAAAGCCATCTACTTGTAGTATTTCTGTTATAGCAACACTATATAACTAAGACACAGACCCAACCCCTACCCCAACCCCTTCTTGTTAGGTGCCGTTAAGTCGGTTCTGACTCATAGGGACCCAATGTACAACAGAAGGAAACACTGCCCTGTCCTGAGCCATCCTCACAATCATTGTTATGCTTGAGCCCATTGTTGCAGCCACTGTATCAATCCATTTCATTGAGGGTCTTCCTCTTTTTCACTGGCCCTCTACCCTGCAACCCCTACTCACAACAGATTCTTTATCACAATCACCTTCACTTGCTGCATATGCAGCTTTTAAATTTTAAAAAGGTTTTGAGCCTTTTCTTGCACTAAAGCAGGGCTTCCAACCACAGTTCATTCTGGTTTGAATCCCTGCTGAAAATTTGCATTTCTTAGAAGTTCCCTGATGAGAATTAGCATTTCTAACAAGTTTCCAGGAAGTTATACATAAGAATCCTGGGGATCTTGTTAACATGTAGATTCTGATTCAGTATGTCTGGGGGGGGGGAATGCTAATTCTCAGCAGGGAACTTGTTAGAAATGAAAATTCTCAGCAATGGTTCGAACCAGACAAACTAGTTCAAAGCCTTGCACTAAAGTAAGGCTAAATAAGAACTTTATGCACCTGTTCTGACTTACCTATAAATTCTTCTTCAAGACACACTTAGGAATGGATCTAATTCGTAACCCAGGGGCTGCCTGTACTTGGACCTACCCTGCTTAGAAAGAAGCTTAATAACCATCCATTACTATTCCAGTGGCCCCTTGGGGCTACCACTGCCCTTCCTAGGAAGCCTCCATCCACATCGAGTCCTCTCCATGGGAGGAGACCTGGTGGTACTGTTTTCTCATCTCTTTACATGTCCAGTGACATGAGAGCCACCCTCACAGACTGAGCCCAGGCCCCTGACCTGCTGCTTCGTGTCTTACTTTACCTCTGGTCCTGAAAAGCCTCAGCTGAAAACTCTCATCTCTACTCCAAAACCTTGGAAAATTCCAGGACTGGATGGTTTGCATTAGAGTAAGCATTGCCTAGTCAATATAATCTTTTAAAATTTATATGCTTTTGGAAAGAATAACAAATCAAGTTAATACCTTCCTAACACAACGGTGAAATTTGGGGTGGGGTAGCAGGGAAGGAGACAGTATAAACTGAAAGAGGAGAGAAGCAGAAGGAAGAGGGGCAGAGGGTGTGAGGATAAATTCTGGAAGGACTACGGAGTTAGGCTGAGGCTACCAAAGACCATGAACCTGGGTATGACTATTATGTTTGGGGCAAAAGGATAGGTAGTCAGTGATCTAAATAAATAAAATGTCAATCCACGTAATTTAGTAGATGCTCCCTTCAGCGAGACTAGCAACTTCTCAAAATGAAGCTCACAGCGGATTCAGGTTAAGTCGGCAAAGGACTGGCAAGGTTGTATACACCATTCAGCTTCTGACAAAACTTAAAGAAATAAAGCAGCCACCTCTTTACATAAACCTTTTTAGAAGTCCCAGCTTATTTAGCAACTGAAGCGTAACCATAAGTTACTTCACCCAGATGTTTATCTTACAAGAGAGAAAGACTTCAGAGATGGCATTTAAAAATAAAGGTATTCCAAACAGAGCTGAGCACCATCTTGTAATAAATGTTCCCACATCTCTTTCTAAGTATTTGTAACAATTCAAAATTGCATTTCTTGGCCAGAAAAGCACAACTTAAAATGCTCCCCAGAAATCCCATCAATAGTCTGGTTCAAAAATAGAAATTATGATTTCTTTGAAGGGGAAAAACAGTGAAAGTGTCATGGGGAAATTGGGAATAAACTTTGCCTTATTCCTGTACTATGTCTCCTGCCTCTGCCTTCTCTCTTTTGTGGCCTTTTGTCTTTTCTCCAAATGGCTACAGTTCTGTCAAACAACACAAAGCTACTTTCCACAAAATCAAATCAGATCTCCAACAACTTAAATGTTTTAATTTGGTACAAATGGTTAATGCACTTGGCTGCTAACCTAAAGTTTGGAAGTTCCAGCCCATCCAGAGGCACCTTGGAAAAAAGGCTTGGTGATCTACTTCTGCAAATCAGCCATTAAAAACCCTGTGGAGCACACTTCTACTCTCAGACACGTGAGGTTGCCGTGAGTCAGAGTTGACTTCACGTCAGCGGTACTGGTCTACCTAAACAAAGAAAATTTTGCAATACGCGGTCCCTAGGTGGCGCAGTTTGCACTCTACAGCTAACCTACAGGTTGGCAGTTGGAACCCACCACGGGAGAAAGGTCTGGGGATCTGCTCCCATTATTATTACAGCCAAGAAAACCCGATGGAGCAGCTCTACTCTGGCACACGGGGTCACCGTGAGTCAGAAGCTACTCCACAGCATTTTTTTCCCCCAGTTGCATTTTGTCTTATCTCCTTTTTATCCTGTTACCTTACTTTAACAAATTGGAGACCTCACCGTCTTCTCTCCCCTGGGCCCAGAACCCCACACTCTAAGGTAGTGGTTGCGACAGCAGACGTGCCTACCTTGCCCAGGCCGGGGGTGTCCTTCACCTTGTTGACGGCTCTCAGCAGACAGGGTGGGGCGGGGGGAGGGGAGGTCTGCAGAATCCCACTGAAGCTGGTGGCAAAGAGAGGCAGCTCAGCCACAGAAGAAGTAGAAGGCCGATGTTTCTTCTTTTTAGAAGACAGATTTAACTTCTGGGCAGCTCTGGAGGAAAAAATGAAGATAAGGGACAACAAAGGGAAAATTACTGTATAATCAATCAGATACGGTAGGGTTACTTTATTTTCTTTCTCTTAAAGAACCCCCTTAAGAGCTTTTACTGAAGAGCTTTGCAGTACTTTCTCTCCTTACCTTCAGTGTGCTCTGTAATAGCCCCTCACTACAACAGTGAACTTAATGAGCGACCCAATCACTTATGCATCAGAAAAAAAGCCATAAAAACGCACAGTTCTGCAATCAGCATTTACAAAGAATTGTTTACTACTTATCCACAAACACTCAGCTTTAGCATGAATACAGCTGGTCATCTCTGTGGATAAACAACACCAATTAGGTTAATCATTCCATAACTTCTCTGGTATAAACTCAACTGTGAGAGGCCTTATGAGCTATTTAAAAATTCTAACACCTTGTAAAATCCACACCAGTCTGATGAAGAGCCATGTGGCAAGCAATCAAGGCATGTTATGTACACAGCTGTGGAAGGAAAACACAAGCCCAGGTCGATAGGGGGAATATAAATGAAACTGGCTTTAGAAACACAACACCAAATAGGGTGCAGAGTGCTGAGCCCAGGGGAAAGCCGGCTTTTCTGCAGGACAGTGTTTAAATACAAACTGCAATTCACAGGCAAGCACCAGGAGTGAGAGGTGCAAATGGAGAAACGGAGGAGTGGAGGTGGCCAGTATCATTAATAATACTGGATGTTCACATCACATCGTCCATCACTCAAGTGCCCTGTAATGTTTAAAATACAACTTTATCACAGAGTAGAGGTAGAAAACAAGGCAAGAGATGATGTGAGTCAAAGTGGCTTTCTAAAAAAGCAGCCTAGCCAGGACCTATGTTTGAGGTCTGCCACTGGGAGATTTAATGGGAATGTTCCAAGCAGGAGTAAGACGAGAAAATAAGCGTGGCTTCATAGCCAATAAGTAAAAAATATATTTCACAGACAATATAGTTATTTCTCCACCACTCGTCTGTCAGTTTGTTGTGCTGTGGTGGCTTGCATGTTGCTATGATGCTGGAAGCTATGCCACTGGTATTTCAAATACCAGCAAGGTCACCCATGGTGGACAGGTTTTGGTGGAGCTTCCAGACTAAGACAAACTAGGAAGAAAGTTCTAGCAATCTACTTCCAAAAATTCAGCTAATGAAAACCCTGCAGATCACAACAGAATATGGTCCAGTATAGTGCTGGAAGATGAGCTCCCTAGGTTGGAAGGCACTCAAAATATACAGTGGCTGCAACACTGGACTTGAACATACCAACGATCTTGAAGATGGTGCAGGATGGGGCAATGTTTCGTTCTGTTGTATGCGGGGTCACCGTGTGTCAGAGCTGACTTGATGGCAACTAACAGCAACTACAACATACTTATTTCTGGATTAATTCTTGGTGTTTTCACACTATAGTCTTGTTTTAAGAACTCCAATTTTTCCTTATCAAATGCTATTAAACATCTGAGCTGCCGCTTAAAACAAACAGACTGCCATGACTTTATTCTATGGAGCAAAACCTTACAGTCCATCCAATGTTCTTCTCAATTACGTAACAGGTTACAGACTGGCAGGTCAGAAAGACAAAATCAGCATCGCTCGCACCTTCCTCCCTGTCGCTCTTAATGATCTGGAATACCAGTAGTTGGTTTTAATTTTGTATCAGTAATTATCATGCTTTTGACAAATCCCGAGCTACAAAATTGCCACGGCACAAATATAGCAAATCGCATTACCATTTCAAAGCTTAATTTTTCTCAGTCATAAAACTGAAAATCTACTTCACAAGAGTGAAATACAGAGAGATGGAATGCACGAGAAACAGAGTTTGATGGAAACATACTGCAAATGTCCCAATACCGTGTGCCAAACTTCAGGAACTCTGTAGTCACTCTGTTGTAGATTGATGAAAGATCAAGGGCACCAAAAGTAGATTTCCAAAATGCTTCCTTTTGCCAATGAGTGAAAAGAAAAAAGCAGGATTATCTATATATTTTTGTCATGATTTCATTGCCATTCTTCCTGAAGCTTTCCTTCTAAAATTATGGGTGAAATGGAACTCTTCCGTTACTAGTCTGTCGCTTCTCTTGGCAGTTTTCGTTAATCTTTAAGATTCTCTCTCTAAACGAACAGTGACTCATCCAGAGCTATGTGTCAGGCGGTGGCACCAGGCATCAGCACTGAGTTCTCCTGACACGTGCTCCTCTGACTCGGTGATCCCTCACTGGTGTTAAGCCAGGCTGCCTCTGTCTTAGAGAGTTAGAAAGGAGGGGGAAGAAGACTATCTGCTAGTCACTGGAAGGTGGTGTTTATCCATTTGCATTTAGGATCCTTTTGTGCAGCAGAAAAAGGACTAGGCAGCTGCCATGGCTCCCACTCCCCTACCAGGTGGGGCTCCCAGTCCAAAATGGGGAGACGGAGAGGAGCAGAGGGTGGTGCTGAAAGGCAGCTCAGAAGAGGTAGTGGCCTGTTGATTGACTTTCTCCTTTTCCTTTTACCTATTTCTGCCACCTATGCCCACATACCCACACACATACTGCGCAGACGAAGAAAGCGAGAGTCCTTGAAATTAAAGCATATGAAGGACATACCCAAGGACATCACTCCAGGACCTCACTTCCCTCTCTCTCCTACAACATCACATTTTCACTCTATACTGGATCATTTCCAACAGCATATAGACATGCTGGTATTCCTCTCATCTCAAAAAAACTCCTTCTCTTGATTGTACTTCCCCAGCCAGCTACTATTTCTATTTCCTTGCTCATCTTTGCAGCAAAACTCACGAGAAGTGTTGTCTATACTCACGTTCTCCAATTCCTCTCCTTTTGTTCTCCATAAAGACACGCCCAGCAGACTTCTGTCCCACTATTCCATTGAAACAGCTCTTGTCAAAGTTAACAATCACTTCCAATAAATTGAGTGGTTCTCAGTCCCCATCTTACCTAATGTATCAGAAGCAGTGTGTATATCCTTCGTTCTTGATACACTTTCTTTTCCACCAGTTTCCTTTGCTAGTTCCTTCTCTTCTCCCCAGCCTCTTAATGGCAGAGAATCCCAGGGCTCAGTCCTTGGTCCTCTTCACTTGTATATCTATACCACAGTATGTACATATACATATATACACACACATATACATTCTATCTATCTATATTGTTGTGTGCTGTTGAGTCAATTCCAGCTCATAGTGACCCTAATGGACAGAGTAAAACTGCACCATAGGGTCTCCTAGGCTGAAATCTTTACGGTAACAGATCGCCAAGTCTTTTCTCCCGCGGAGCAGCTGGTGGGTTCCAACCACCAACCTTTTGGTTAGCAGCCAAGTGCTTAACCATTGCACCACCAGGGCTCAATACATATACATATGTATATATATACGTGTGTGTGTATAAAGAGAGGAGAGATTATGTATATATATACTGAGTATATGAGTATATGTATATGTATATACATATAAAAGTGTATACATATAGAGAGGGGAAGAGAAAGAGCATAGTATAGATATACAAGTAAAGAGGATCAAGGACTGAGCCCTGGGGTACCCTGACTTTAAGAGGTTGGGGAGAAGAGAAGGAACCAGCAAAGGAAACTTGATGTTCTGTATCTATACTTGATCCTTTAACACTGTCTTCCAGGAACACAATTTAAATAGCATCCTTACACCTATGGCTCCTAGATTTTTTATTTCTAGCTTAGACCCCTCCCCGGAATGCCATATTTATTTATCCAGCTACCTCTTCAATAATTCAAAATGGGTATCCAATAGGCATCTTAAACTTGCCATCTCCAAAACTGAGTTACTGATCTTTTCCTGCAAAACTGTTATGCCCTCAGCCATCCCTATTTGAGAAAATGGCAATTCCATCTTTCCAATGGCTCAGCCATCTTTGAGTCCTCTTTTTCTCATACCACCCATCCAACCCATCAGGAAATCTTGTTGTCTCTACCTTCAAGATACCCAACCATCTCTCACCACCTGTACTGCTACCATCTTAGTCGGAGCCACTACCTTCTCTTGCCTAGATTCCTGCAATCTTTTCCTAACTTGTCTTTCTTCTCCTTTGCCACCTACTTCCCCTCTACAGGCTGTTCTCCACGAAGCAGTCAGAGTAATTATTTTAAAATATCTCTCTGCTCAAGACCTATTTGGCTCCCCATCTCACTCACTGTAAAAGCCAAAGTACTTATTATGGCCTTTAAGGCCTTACATAACCTGATCCCACTCCCCTGTATCTTTCAGACCTCCTTTCTTACTATCCTCTTCCTTTTGTCACTTTACTCCAGCCATACTAGCCTCCAGATACTCCTGGTACATTCCCACCTCAGGGTCTTTGCACAGGCTCTTGCCTTAGCCTGGAATGCTCTGCCCCAGACAGAGACAGCCATATGGCTCATTCCTTCACCTCCTTTAAATCTTTGCTCAAATGTCAGTGAACCTACCTTGCCCATCATGGAAGACTTATTTTCCAAAGATAGCTGCACCAATATATATCCTATCCCACATGCTCTTCTTACAACATGACATTGACACTCTTCCATTGAGAAGTGGGGTATATGTTCCTTCCTCTTGAACCTGAAGGAACTTTGAAATTGCCTTGACCAAGAGAATATGGTGGAAGTGATGCTGCATGACTTCCAAGGTTAGGTCATAAAAGGCAATATGGCTTCTACCTAGCTCTCTCTCTAGGGACACTCACCCTTTGAGCTCAGCTGCCATGTTGTAAGGACCCCAGTCAATAGCCAACATCAACTGCCGAACATGTGAGTAAATGAGGCTTTAGATGATTCTAGCTGCCATCCTTCAAGTCTTCTAAAGCTCCAGACATCACGGAGCAGAGACAAGCCATCCCCACTGTATTTTGTCCAAATTCCTGACCCTCGGAATCCATGAGAGATAACACACAATTGTTTTTTGCTTTAAGTCACTAAGTTTTGGGGCAATTTTTGGGGTTACACAGCCATTTGGAATAATATATTATACACAG